ATAAAAAATTGAGTTACCTTTCTTTTGTTAAAAAAAAAAATAAAATAAAAAAATTTGTGGCTGTAAAGTTTTATTTAGCTGGACTGAGAGAGATTATTTAGATCATCGCATATCCTTGTGTTAGAATGGTCCAGTCAAAGTCCAGACCTAGATCCACCAGACCAGCCGCAGCAGGACTTGGAAAACCGATGTTCTGGACTCTGAGCTGGCAAAGAACGGGCAAAAGTTTCAGTCTGTAGATGTACAAAGCTAGCAGAGGCTAGAATTGACTCAAAACGAACAGATGCCAACCTTTACAGATTTTCCTCTGTAAAAACATTTTTTATGTTTATTTTTTTGGAAAGCATGCATCATTTCCCTACAGTAACGCTGAGGTTTGTGGCTGAAACGTGAGAAACGCAGAAGAATCCCTGGAACCGACTTTAAGGTGTTTCATACTCGGCGGTCAGCAGAGTGAGGGTGATTAACGTCGGCTCTGTTTTACAACAAACTGTTTGCGGGAGTTTGTTTTTCTTTTCTTCCCCCCAATTGTTAGATGATATTCTCAACATATCATTTTTAGATTTTGCAAACGACATCTATCTTTACCGTTTCTTGCTGCCGTCGCAGTCGGAGTGGGATGGCAGAAGAATACCTCCACGTATCGCCGCGTTTGAACTGTGACTGTTTGGGGTTTTAAACGACGGCGAACGTGCATTCCGTCTTAATCTTCAGAAAATCTCCTCACAAATATTGACGCTTCCCGGTCAGTCTTTGTTTCCGAACAAACAGCGTGAATGATTAGCAATATTTCTACAAATATTGTAGATCAGAAAACATCTGTGGTGAAAGTTTAGCTTTCGGCTACAGCGCTGATGATATACTTGCTAATTTTACTACAAGTCTTAAAAATCAATCAGAATATTTTTTGTCTTATTTGTAAAATGTGAGAATAGAACTGCTAAATAATAATAATTAAAAAAAAGTCATTTTTTCTGATGAATGGCTTTGATTGTTCCAGTGAAACACTCCAAGTCGTTTGCTGTGGCCGGTTCGGACGACGGCATGGAGGAACTGCGGGCGACGGCTCGGCGGCTCACCTCTGACAGCAGCTTCAGGGAGAGCGTCTACAAGATCGTCGTTCGCAAGGAAGCCGCAAACACCACGATAGACTGAGTGGATAAAAGAAGAATAAAACAACAACAAAAAACAACAAATCAGAAATGGTCCTTTAGCTTTAATTTCATCAGCACATAAAGTTGGAAAAGACCCTGATCCCAAACCTTAACGTACACACACACACACACACACACACACACACACACACACACACACACACACACACACCTGTTCACTGACGGTTCCAAGTCACTGCAATAATAAAAGGAATCGGACAAGATGAATTAAATAAATTTAAGTCACATAACCTCCTTGGGTTTTTTTTTTTTTGTCTGTGTGTTTTTTGTTTTTTTTTTGCTTTCTTTGTTGCACTCAAATGCTTCTGTTTACTGAAAAATGTCTTAACATCAGGCAAAGTCAACCTGGAAAAACAGAAAGAAAACTAGTTCTCATGTTATAACTTCATTTATTTAGGGAAAAAAACCAATCCTAACCAAAATGAAGTAATCCCACCATCCTAATAAACCTAATAACTGAGTATTTCCGTCACTGTGGACGAATTTTGACCCACTCTTTTCTGTAGAACTGTTCTTTTTTAGCCACATGCTAACCTTTTCTATAGTAAACACTACAGCAAATAAAACTTGATAACATTTGTCTGATTTGATAATATTTGATCAGTAAAATCAAGGCAGTTTTTATTTATGTAGTGCCTAATTACTTCTGTTATAAATATCATTTAATTTTAGAAGTAATGAGCGAATACAGAGAACGCTGCAATATTTAAACCGTTTAATCTGCCGCATCTGGCAAGTTGAGGACATTCGTAATCTTTATGTGGCCAGAGATGAAAGCGAGGTAAAAGCCCCAGTTCTAGGTGTCGTTGAGCAACTTTGTGCCAGACAGGTTGCAGGTCATTAAGTTCTTGATCGTACGGGTCCAGCTGTGGTCAGGTGTTGGTGTGGACAGACAAACTGAACCGGAAGAAAAAAAAGTGGCTGAAAGCATTGAATTTATGACTTAACAAGGTGGAAATATTTATATTTCTCTTCAGCCCAGGTTAGTTTAGATAGCTTATGAAGCAAAATCAGCATCCATGCAAACATTTCAGTTGTTATAACAATGCTACAAATATCAAATGTGACTTAAAAGAAATTTGACTTTGTAATTTAACGCCTTAAAATTGGGCTTCTGTCTCTTTAAGAAGCTCCTGCTCTCTCTGAAACTCCGCCTTCAGGAAGTCATCGCTGCTTTGCTCCTCAATTAACCCTTTAACAACGTGTCAACAGGTGTTTGCTAAACTCTGGCTAGTCTGTATGAACCGAGTGGTGAAGTTCTCAACGCCAGGTCCACCCAGGCGTTTTGCACAACTGAATGGTTGCCATGGGAGATTAGAGGATTTCTCAAACATGAATGAAAGAATTAAGGCAACACTCCAGGTATGTTTTTGATGAGGGAATAACATCATAAAATGATGAAAAGTTTAAAAAAAGAAGTAGATTTTACGTAACTCTGCCTCTTTAAGAACAAGCCTCATAAGTATTGACGTCCCTAAAAGTCTCTTTGACATGAATGCAGCTAAAATATTTCAGAATTTACACTTTCTTCTTTTGGAAAGCGTGACTGGTCAGTTGTCCCTGTACTTTGTGTTCCGTTGGTTTAAACACGACGTGACTCAGCTGCCTGCTGTTGAAGCCACTGGCCACTTCCTAGAAAATGACCCATAATTGTCCTGCCGGATAAACATGGTGAGCTCCAAAGTTTACTGTCAGAGAAGAAGGACTGCTTGAGGTCAACCAAGTCTTCATAACAACCACTGGATGCCATCTATCCATCTGCTAATCTGGTTACACCAGAAAAAGACTTTCCTCTCCTGCTCCATAACAAACCGTCCACCAGTAAACTGGAAACAGGTCGAAACTGGAGTCCCTCAGCCAGATATTTACCCAAAATCTAAGGCTAAATTCATCAGAGAAACGTCTGAACAGACACTAAATCAACATGCTTCACGGTGGTCCCCGAAAACTTGGAAACTGTGAATAAGTTGAAAAGAGTCATTTCCTAGCATGGGATGAGTTTTACTCTGAGTACATAAAACACAATCAAAGGTTCAATGTTGGGGTGAGATTGTGTGTCTGCACTAAAAGTTGAGTTTTTACACATATTTTAAGACTTTTGGACAATTAGCTCAAATCAACTGAGTGTTGTGTTTTAGAAGTTGTGAGCTTTCTAGACGAGGGTATGAAGTGAACTAAAAATACAAACATGATTGGCCTTGAGTTGATAGAATATTTAGTGGCTGCATTTTCTAAGACATCTCCACATTTGCTCGACAGTAGCTGTAGATTACTAGACTGTAACCTGTAGAGTTGGGAGGTTCAGAAATTAAGATTTTTGTCTTGAACTCGTTGAGGTTTAAGAAGTTCACCCCTATCAATTTACAATAATTCACTTATGTAGCCAAACAATATCTGCAGTGCACCACGACTGTCCGATAAGCTGGTCCTTTCAGAGAAAGAATGTTCCCTCTTTTGCTCTGTTTCAAAAACTGGAGTTGCTAACTTTCTAGACAACAAATTTACAGCAAAGTTTTACCCATGAACACGAAGCTATTGCTTTGAAGAGCTTCGGTTCAACAAGTCGCTTGCTTGTTCGGTTGGAACAGTTTTCCTCAAATTTAAGTTGCTTAAACAATTTGTTGCTCTCATAAAGGCTGATTTTGTGTGATATGGAAAGATGAAATCAGTTAAATAGTGTATCAAACCATCGCAAATAAACAATAAAAGTATATATTTTTTCCCCTCTTGTACCTGATGCTTTCAGTCGCATTAAGTACACGTTTCTCTTCAGCATCTCAACAGGGCTTGCGAATAAGTACTTCAAACATTTTATTGCAAAATCACATGATATCATAGAGAAATGACATAGACAAGACAGATAACTCAATTCCACCTCGAAGATCTTTTTATTTGTCCGGTTTTGTTTGCATTTACGTTTCACGGATGCATCTGTTGTCGTCCTTAACCGTTTCGTTATTGCTACATCTCAAACCTTTTCTGATACAACAGTAGTTTAAAGAGAGAGAAAAGAAAAGAAAAACATTAAATAACCAGAAAACTTGGGGAAAAAAGCCAACATTTAAGATAAGAAGGTTAGAAGGACAAAAAATGAACAGATTGATCAGCACGCCTTGGTATGAATAAAGCTGTCTTTGAACCGTGTACATTTGATTGGTTGATGCAGAAAGGCAGCCGCTTCTCTCAGAAGCCTATTGACGACAATGATGATAATTACGGATGGAAAAAGAAAATTGAGTATGATCAGCTTTCCTATAGGTACATTTCAGAGAGGAGAGGAGCTTGTTGTGCAGAAAGCTCAGGCCTGGTTCAGTCGTCTGCTCTCAATCATCTCTGGGACCTGCAGCGGATAAAAAAAGATGAGGGATGAAATCGGTCAGAGTCATTTCATTTTTAATATAGCACTACATAACACATGTTCAAAGATTATATATTTTAGAATAAAATAAGTACGTCAATGTGGAAAAACAATAAGATCAAAATACAAACACGCTTGGCCTTGATCAGGACTTTGAGTTGATAGAGTAGCCATCTGTTGCACTTTCTAATGAGAAATTTCTAAATTTGTCTGATAGTAGACATAAACTGTAGGTTTGGGAGGTTCAGAAATTAACATCTTTGAAGTTTAAGTTTCTTTAGTTCATTCATGTAGCCAAACAAGCACCACAATGCATCAAAAACGCCCGGTTTACTGGGAAATAGAGCTGAGTGTCATCTGCATAGCGGCTGACCTTAACAAAACTAACCAGTCTACGTCTTTCAACATGGGGCAGGCTTTTAGTATTGTGTGTGTTCAGATCTGTGTCATTTATTAATCTGGTTATTGCTGCATACACAGTCCACATATACGGATAAAGCTTCAGCAACATGTTGGTCACTGAAGATCTCAAATAATCAAAAATGTCTTTATTGGCCTCGTTGCTTGAGCGCACATAAGTATACCTCACATTTAGCCTGCTGACCAACCAAAACCTCTCATTAATATTCACACGTCCAAGTCAGGAAAAGGATATTTGACAAGAGAAAAATTTGGCTAGATCTTTTAATTATTTTCTGGCGACTTGCTGGATGTTTTGATTAATCTCAAAGGTCAAAACAAAAAACGAAAACAAAAAAATTTAGCCAAAACAAATTTACTTCAGAAAATTATTTTCTTAGAAAAGAAAGAATTTTAGACTGGATGCAAAATGAAGGATTTGTCAACAGACGAGTTACAGTCCTGTGGTTTCTTTAAAGTCTGACTTGCTATTGCTAATTTCTTTTCTGAACAGATTTAAATTCTTTTGTTTGTTTTACATTTCTTTTTATCTGTCAAGCAAAAGAAAAAAGGAATAAATAAGCAGTTTGTTTCATAAAAGTCAATGAGAAATGAACAATCATACGATTATATCCACTTGTCCATGAAAGTATAAATCCTTGGCCTTTTTTTGATGCTTTTATGTCCCAGAGGGAGTAGGAGTTTTCAGTTTTGTTGCCTTTAATGAACAATGGGGGACAAAATCAGATTTTTTTGGAACTGTTGGCTTCCTTATTGGCACGTCGTTATAGGTTCGTATTGTTATTATCACTTTTTCAGATGACCTTTGACCCACGTGTAATATAACTTAAGTTACACTGTAATTTATATTACAGTGTAACTTTAATCAACATGATTGTAGAGGTACTGACTTCAATCAACAACATGAAGCTCGAGTTTCTAACATATCATCTCCTAAGCGCCATTTTGGAAAAATCTCAACTTTTTTCTTTCTAAAAGATAAAAAAAACAACCGTTATTTTAGGAAGGTGTTGATATTGAATCAGATTCAGATCTCTGAGCAGATATCAGGACCACCGATAGTTTTTCCAGCTTATTCCAACTCCAGCCATTATTCTGTACTTGTAAAATGCAGTTGCAGCAATTAAGAGAAACCTTGTATTTTTTTATTTTTTATTTTTTTGTTATACAAAAAGCATTCACAGAGGAAATCTGCTGCCTCATCCTTCCCCCCCACCCGTCCACCATGATTATCTGCTTGGAGCCCTGCTCAGTCAGCCATAATCCTGCTGGTGTAATGCTGTGTTTTCAATTCCCTCAGGCTTACATCTTGGCTGAAAGCAGGTATAAAACACGTGACTGTCTGAAACGCTCGACTCGCTCTGCTTTCTGGTTGCTTCGAAAAACGTCTCCGCACCCAAGATCTTTTCCCACATTTTTACAACGACAAACTGCAATGGTTTTATTGGGATTTTAATGTGATGGAACAACAGAAGAACTGTGCAGGATTGTGGCATGGAAGCAAAATTCTACATAGTTAAGAAAAGCAGGTGATGGTGACTCTGTCGACTGGAAAAACAAAACAAAACTTGAACTCGACAAAATAAAATAAAACAGGAGCATAGTTTACAGCAACATATTGTAAAATATTATCATAAATGTAGATACTTTTGCAGTATATTTAGTGTTGTTTTTTTATATGTAGAGTAAAGCTGATGTTGCACATAACCCCAAATGATGGTGGCTGCATCATGCTGTGGGGATGCTCTTTTCTTATTTTTTTTTGGGACCTATGATGGAATACCTTCCAGCATGACCATAAAAACAAACCCAGAGGTGAAGTGAAACGGTCGGGATTTTAAGTCTTAACCATACGATATGTTGGAATGGCCTACTCAAAGTTTTTACCTAAATCTAATTGACCTTGGGTTATTTTTGTAAAGACTGTTAAAGGCATACCCAAAGTTCTACAAATTGTGAACGTGGGAGCCGGCAGGGGGGCCTTTTCTCACTGCAACCCAAACTTTTCAGACCTTCTTTCAGCTTCACTGCTTTGGTTTCCTTTGTTTTGGTTTGTCACATCATATTCCAGTTGTGGTTGTACTGTGACAAAAAGAAAAGAAAAGAAAAGAAACATCCAGGGCTGTTTTGAACCTCAGTGAAACACTTTCTCGAGTAAATAAAGTTTGATTGATTCAATGTTTTTGCATTCTAACAGCTAGAAGACTCTATTTAACACCAAAATCCTGGCTGGGAAAAAGAAACATCCAGAACCAGCTCCCAGTGAACCATCCTCATTACTCAGGCGCTTTCTGCAACTCCAGCCAGATTTGTATTGCCATGGCAACGGCCTCATCTCATGTGTGTCGCTTCAGTTTTATTTTTATTTTTTTTCCCTTTTCACAGCTGGAAAATTGTAGGATTAGTGCATTATTAAAACTACTGCCGCAGCAGAATGAAACAAAAACAGACGGGGAGGTTTAAACCACCTACCTGTTGGCTGGGAGATGGTCACCATGACGCTGTGTTGGAAGCAGGAGGATGGTACGGGGAATCGAGTGAAGGTTTTCTCTTGGAGAGCTTTAGTGCTGACTTTAACGTGAAGAGGGGACTAAAACAGAGTTCCTGAAGGGAATTTGAAGGGGGAATGCTTGTGGTGCAATATCTACCGTCCTCTGCACCTCCTGGCGCTGCACAGTCAGCACCGAAAGGACGGACAAGCTTCCGTTCTTGGGCTTGACTTCCAAACTGTCTGCATTTCTACAAAAAAAAGGGGGGTGGGAGGGGGGGGGGGCTGTCGTGGGCTGGGAATTATTTGTGTTTAGCCTTTTCCTCAGGCTTGCTTTCCCACTAACAGGAGTGTCCCCCTGAAAGCCCCCGCAGCTGTCGTGAAGTTGTGCTTCCAGATAAACAATGACTCTTTCATTCCAGAACAGCTTCCAGTCCAGTGGCTGAAATAAAACGCAGCTAAGGGCAAAAGGACGAAATGAGAGAGAGAGGGAGAGAGAGAGAGAGAGAGAGCGAGAGCGAGAGAGAGAGAGCAGGTTGTGTTGCCACAAAAAGAAGAAAATTGTTCTGTCCACTCTAAACATTAAGCTGGCTCCGCCTGACTAAAGGGCTTCACTGTTGAGAAATAACTACTGATATGGTTTGTTTCTCTAATACGGCAATAATACAAATCTGGATTTGTTCACTTTTGTGGGAAAAGTGGTCAAAAGTATAATAAAACTGCTGATGGGTAATGATATGTAATGTAATGTGTTGATTGGAAGAAGGGCAACCTGTTGAGTGTACAAAGGTCAAGAGCCGATGATATGACCGGCGGTTTACGACGAAGCTGTGGGTTTACTTTTCATCCAGACTCGCTTTGAGCTGCGCTTCCAGGGCCATCTTGTCAAAAGTGCGCATGTTGGTCTCCTCCCGCACTTTGTCCCGCACGTGGAAGGACGCCCGGGCAACAGAGCGGGCGCTCTCCAGCACCGCCTTCTTCTCCCTGAAGATCTGCTCACTTTTCTCCAGCTTCCTCTCGATGGACTGCAGGAGCTCCAGGCGCCTCTGCCTCTCCTCCTCCTCCACCCGTTGTCTGTTGAGCTTCTGGAGTCTTTCCTTCTCCTGCCGACTCTGGACGGCCCGCTTGGCTTTCTCCTTGGCCTTTTCCTCGGCCACCATGGCGGCCTGCTGGGCTCGCTTAGCAGCCTCCTTCACGCGGGCCTCCAGGAGCTGCTGCTGCTGCTTCTCGCGTTTCTCCGCTGCCTTGCGAGCCTTCTGGATCTGCTTCTCCTCACGCTTGGCCTTCTCCTTCAGTTCCTGCCCCCGCCGTTCGACTATTTGCTCGTAGTTCTCGAGGGAGCGGTTGAGCTTCTCCTCTGCCGCCCTCTTAGCTTCATCCCTCTCTTCCTGTTCTCTACGGGCGATTTCTTGTATGAGGGCGGCATGACGCCTCCTCTCCGCTTTATTCAGACCTCTCCTCTCCTCGTGGGCCTGGTGCTCCCGCTCCTGCCTCTTCAGCTCAGCGATAGTAAGCTTCTCTTCCAGGAGCAGTCTCTCTTGCTCCAGCATTGCAGCCCTCTCCTCTTCCAGGGCTTTCAGATTCTGTTCCTGAAGAGCTTTCTTGTGCTTCTCTTCTCTCGCCGCCTGCTGCAGCCTCAGCAGACGGCTGCGCTCCTGCTGCTCTGCCAGCTCCTTCCAGCGCTCCTCATGCTCCTCGGCCTGCCGCAGTTTGGCGGCGGCTGAGTCGCGCTCCTGCTGGCAGATCTT